TTGCTCCAGACAGCATCTTAACACCAAGGCCACCCATTAAGGAGCACGCTCTGCCAGAATCCACCACTTCCGAAGTCAGCAAAATAGGGAGGCTTTTCTGTACTGCTGAAGAGGTACGCTGGGTGAGAAAGGTGCCTTTTGTAAATGAAACAAATTAGCAGTTGTAACGAAACTGTATGTAAATGCTGAGGTGGCAGTTTGTAACAGCATAGTGGGTGTAGTTAACGAAGTTGAAGGAATGCTTCTGGAAAATCAGCGTGTATCATTTTATTTGCCTTTACATGCATCAGGTCTTGGAACAGAGTAGTGCTTTGTTGCCAGAAGATTGAATTTTAAACCATTTTCACAGAAATGGTGTACTGAGGCAGGACCCTCCAGCCAGTTTCCACGTGTAAGTGGAGCTGTACTGCCTTGTCACTAAGCGTGTCTTTGTTGCAGAGTTATTTCACTATTTGTCCTTAACCTAGCGCAACTGTGCTCTTTAGGTAGCGACTTTAAAAGGATAATGTAGGCAAAAACCCACTCAGTTGCTGGTAATCCTTCCTTAGAGGACTATCTTAGAGGTCTTTCCCTGTCCTTTCCTTCCACTATCTGAAGCAATTATTGGAAAATTCCTGATAAACCGAGCTTACATGGGAGAAGAACTTAGACCGAAGTACTGGAGAAGCAGGCCATGGCAAGCTGTGGAGTATGATTAAGATACCCTGGGGACTCGCAGCACCCAATCATTATGTATATCGACAGGAATGCGTATTAGCCTGAGTTCTTACGCAAGAGGTGCAGACCACAGCTGAACAGAAGAGGCCCCCATCAGAGGAAACAGTTGCAGAAGGAATTTTGAGGTTTCTAGTGGGACACAAGTTCCTAGAGCAGGGCTAACACAAAATGAAGTTGTGGGAAATCCTGCTAAAGTAAACTTAAATAATGTGCCGGTATTTTGGGAACAGCCTGTGCAGTCCGCGCTATATCCAGATTACAAATGTTTGCTTCATACACAGGTTCTAATCTCTTTTATTTTCTTCCTCCATTCTGCTAGGGTGTTCAGCAAGGAGAAAAGGAGAAATACAAGCAGCTCTTGGAACTGGTAAAGGGAAAATATCCTAGAAGCCGCTCTAATCCGCAGCCGACAAGCTTCTGCAAGTAATTACAGGAAAAATAACCATTAATTTTTTGGTGGTAACTTTGTAGCCGTTGTACATGCAAGTGGGGTGGAATTAATCTTTCCTACTCACAGGGTTCTGCACAGTGTCCCAGGGCAGATGTTGGGGCAAACTAATTTTTAAAAGACCAACACTGCCCTTCAGCTCCCCACAATGAAGCATGCATATTCTCTGAATGTATGTTCTAAACGTGAAGATTCCGTTGTTGACAGGGGTATGTTTCTGATACTCCTTTCTTGTCTCTGTGCTAAGAAAGGTAGTATCTAGTTCTAGTGCTGGCGGCGTAACTTCTAGTATAAAAATCCACAGCACTGGTTATTCTGTAGCACTGTTAAAAAGAATTTCGCTTCCTCTTGTTTGCAATTGATGAGTTTTTTCCTTGCTCAAGAATCCTGTTATATCTGAGAATGTGAAACTTAAACACAGGGAGTGCCAGAATTTTCTCCATTCCTTTCTACCTCCCCCAGTCCTTGCACAAATTATAGGAAGTTTTCTCTTTGGGGAACACTGAGCTGATAAAATCCCACTTGTGTGTAGAATTCCAGTTCCTAAAGCGACCTGCAGAGGGGAACTTGTGTGTAGTTCTGATTCACATATTACCAGTGATGAGTATATTTGATATAACTGCGTCAAGAGATTGCACGAAGTTAACGACACAAGTAAAAAACACAAAAATAATAGAAGCTATTATCTTAGCGGACTAGTTACACTTCAAAGCTGTGCCGAAGTCACCTAATTCTTGTAAAATAGTGATGCCAAGATGGTGCCGAGGTTCCAGCGTGCCTTTGTACGCAGTAAGATGGTAGAAAATGCCACGCTTTCTTGCAGTTTCCTTTAAACGCTGTGAAACGTGGGTTGTTACCAGGGCTGAGAACAATCCCAATCTCCGCTCAGTGGTTCACAGCTAGAAAACATGTAAACGCCTGACTTCAGAACAGCGTATCATGTTTAAACATTCTGGCGCATGAAAATGATATGGAAAACAGTGTCTCATGTAATTTTAGGTGCATTTTAGGGTGGGTTAAGACTCTGCTTTTGGCATCTCATCTCCCAGTCATTGATTGTTGTGGTTTGGCTCATATCTCCGAGCAGACCTGGAGCATGTGAAACAGATTCCTTTCAGATGAAGCTAAACCAGAGAGTGTTCCTGTGGAATGTGTCTAATGTGCTCCAACTGCTAACGAGGGTGTAGTCACTGAGGCCAGAGTAGAGCAGGTCTGAAGTAAAATGGTCCCAGAAGTATGTGTGTTGTGGACATTGCGTTCTCAGTGTCAGTGTAATCTTTAATAAATAGATTGGAGAGAGTTGGTCAAGGATGGTTGTAACAAATCCTGTCTTGTCCCGTAAAATAAAGATTAATCCAGATATTTGTAGGATGCGCAAAGAGTACTTTTTCCTTTTAAAGAAAAAAACAAAAAGCCACTGATTTGCTGGCGAAAAGGTAAAGGAATTAAATTTCATGATTGATTAGTCTCTTTTGAAATTCTGGAGCCAGAAAATTTGACTCCCGTATCTTCAATATGCCCGAGTTGAAAGTAGCCAAGCTTCTGAATGTGACCTGCCTCCTCATGGAAATGCCCTTTGCATTTTGTCGTGAAACCAGTGCTCAGGAGCCAGGATGTTTCTGTCAAGGGATTAAACAGCTTTCTATCACTTTAACTATGGCTTCCAACTCTAATGTAGGCAGTTGTGTAGGAATAAACTGTCTCCTTTCTAGTGAATTGATAAGCACCGATAACAAATGCCATACGTATAAAAATTGCGATTCTTCTCTGTTGTTTTTTTTTGCTGCACCAAAGTGTTCAAGCCTCTGCCAAGGAACCAGTGATGACTGTGAGTCACCTGGAAGAACAAAAATATGGAGATGCCTTTCCGTGTATGGCACTAAGGACCAGTGAGTATCCCCATGGTTCGTATCTGTTCCACTTTGTAGGTAGACTTCAAATCAAAACAGGGCATTTCCTTAAGTCTCGAAGGTATAGATTATGCTAAAAAGTTTTGTCAGTGCTAGTGTATTATTAATATGTATCTACCTATAAGGAAATCTAAATCATCCAGCGTGTTTACGCTAGTATAGCTTACGTCAGCTCTTAGAATGAAATGAGTTGTCTCTGGAAAGAAAGGGGAGGGGGAAAGAGGAGGAATAACCACCCCCACCCCCCAGATGATAGGTAGTTATTGGCTAAAATGGCTCTATAAGGTTTTTGTTGAAGGGAAAGTTTGTTTAGAATTGTACTTGAGAGACAGTACTGTACGTTCGTAGCTGCACTCTACAGGAGAACGTCGTAGTATCTGGTTGGTTGTACTAGTGGAGGGTGATACATTACTACACGCCCTTAGATGCCCGTTACTTAACTCAGACTTGTGGTTACTTGTTACTCTTTAATCCCTTTTTAATTTTATTCATGATTATTTCTGTGATAGCAGAGCTTTGAAACCAAGTAAGCTAATTGTTATCATACCATGTGTTCATGGGTATGAAGACCGTCCCAGTCTTTTTTTTCCTCTGTTCTTTACTTAAGTAATTTTTCATCAATACTTCTTTTTACATGTTTGCCAGGGTTCAAACCTCCTAACAATACAGTCATCATTAAAAGTTATTTTGTATTTATCACCCAGAACCCGAGAGCTATGTACATCTGATCATAATTGAAAGCTGACTTCTTGTTTTCATGTTCCTGCTTTTCTGTGCAGGTATCAAATGTGTAGATGTTTGCAGCCCACAGCAGTCTCAGAGAAGTGATGCGATCAGGTAGAGTCTCTTTTAATCGTGATTCTTGTTTCTTGTGGTTCTGTGTGCATGTGTCTTAGCCTCCAGTGGTGTCCAGAAGACAAATGATACTTATTATCTCAGTGCTGTGGAAGAGGAGTTGCTAGCTTGTGGCTCTGGAATTGCTCGCAAGCCAGTTGCATCTCCAGTGCAGCTCCCATGCGAGAGCCGTGCGTGTGACGAACTGGGTTGTGCTGGTGTGGTGTTTTCTGGGTCCTTTGCTGTGGGAAGGAATCTAGTGAGGGCGAGAGTGGTGGCTGTACCAAGTTGTCCTTGGATTTGCAGAATCCATTTTTTGCTTCTGTCTTTCTGCCAAACCATTCATGAGCTGACATTTCATTTCTTTCATTGTGCAGCTAGGATCCTCAACGTAAGGACTAGAGAATTGTAAAGCCTGGTGGGGATGAGGCAGGAGTATGAGACCAAAAAGGAAGCATGCAGTTGGGTTGTCTGTCTGTTTGAGAGTGGACTCGTCTGTGCTGACTGGCTGAGCAGGCAGGATTGCGAGTTCAGATGGCGTTGGGGTGTTGAGGGAATTGGGGTTTTGGGTGCAGTAAGTGCAGCTACAGGGAGAGATTTGGTACGGCAGTCTGATGTACGCATCTGTCTGCAGTGACCTTCCCTTAAATGAGAGAGGAGAAAGCGTAGATGGGAGCAGAGATACTGTTGTGGCAGTCCTGGTTTTTAGCTAATTCCATCCCTTTTCTTCTCCCCGCTTTAAACACTAGCGCTATATTTAGTGCGGCACTGTTCCTGTGCTTAAATTGTCACTCATGCCCCTAAGCTGGAGGGGAGAGAAGGAAATAAAATAACTGTTAAGAGTACGATGGGCTCAAATAAAAGGAACATTTTCTTGCCTTTTTTTGCTGATTTAGCTACTGACATCAGACAAGGCTTGTGTTATCTAGTCTTACCATGCCGAACTGAAAGCTTTTAAAGCAGAATGAGCATAGGATACCATGAGAGTCTGCTGTAGGTCTCCCTCCTGACAAAGGGGATCTTTGGTGACAATGCCCATTCTTGTTTTTGAGGAAGGGACGTATATATGGACAACTTTAATGTCTGTGTATTTGTTTGCTCTTCAGAGTCTGTGTGGTTTTAATGATAATCCTCTCCAAACGGGGATAGTCACTCTCTTGACTAGCCTATAGAAGGGAAGTAAAGACCCCATAGCTTTCCCATTTTTAATTCAACGTGCTGGTCTTAGTTTCTGTAAGCGAACTATGTTTGGATGCAAGTATAGTTGCAGATGTTCACATTATACCTTGCAGTATAACACCTAGCACGCGGTAATTTATCACAAGTAAATCACAAAGCACTCGATGAGGAAGTGCTGGTTGCTTCCCTGGTTTCCAAATAATGAAACCGATAAGGAGAAATAACAGGAGTCTTGCATGTGTAGATGGAAGGAAGTTTGCGAAGCTTCCAGCTCTTCATTTTATCTCAGAATATCTTTCGTCTTGGTGCTGGAAGCTGAGACGATGTTGTTACGTGTTCATGTGCGCAACTGAGGCTCTAGTGAGAATCAGCCTTAAAAAAGCATTTCTTATCCAGAAGGCGAATTGCTGTGAATTTACACGGGACAGCACTGATACACAGCTCAGCTCGCTCTCTCTCTCTTTCTCCCCCTCCTCGCAGGTGCTACACACCAACAGAAAACTCTCATGAACAGGGAAGACCAGTGAAACAAGCCATTGTGGGGGTAAGTGTGTGTTACTCATTAATCCACTTTTTATGAAAATATAGCTATTTGTGATCAGAAATTTTTGCACTCTTCACTTACATTACTTACTCAACAATGCATGTATTTGTCCTGGTTGTTTTTCCCAGAGTAAGTGGGAGCATTATTTTGATGAGTAGCACTATCACAAAGTGTTTTTCACTGCCATTAATTTTGTTTCTGGGCTATTATGAGCGCACTACACGGTACTATTTTTATTCTTCCCCTTTAATGTGTTGGGTATAGCTTCAAAATCTAATCTGCGCAGATTTAGTTGACATGCAAAGCTGGACTGTAGTATCTTTAGTCTTCTCTTGTTTTGTGAGATAGGGAGTACGTCTCTCTGACTTTCATCTCTGGTGAGGATTGAGATCAAAAATAAAATTTTAATCCTGGAAATCAGAAATACTAATCTTGATCTCGACTTGATACCTATGTGTGGAGGCTTTGCTGGGCTTCTTAATGCTAGTCCAAGCCAAGCTAACTTTCTGCCTCTCTTGCCTCCATTTAGTTTTGAGTGCAACATTACCTGGGTGCACAGCTGGAATGCAGTCATCGATAAAAAAATAACTTTGGAGTTTGCTGGTTGGATGTGTGTACAAAACCCAAGTTTTATCCATGCGCAAAATCTTCTGCACTATTCCCCAGCAAACACATCTGTGCTTGCTTCCTAGCTTAATGTCCTTTTGTCTAACAGAGACCATATGGAGCTGAAGTCTCGAAAGAGATGTTAATCCAATTACATCTGGGACCTCTTCTTTCCGGAAAGTCATCTGCCACTGATGAGGAAGTAAAGAAATTCCCAAGCTCAGAAAAACCAGTAGAATACTTTGCTCCGCTCACAGAGGTACCGTAGCTGGCAGTCGGTTAGATGAGAACAGAAGGCTGTGAAACAGCTGCAAGGAACTCCATTTGTTATAGGTGGTTCTTAAGGCTTTTTGAAATCTTAAGAACTTGCGATTAACCTGTTACCGAGTGTCTGCTGCTGTGACTTCACAGTGCGAGGGTCAGCAGTAAAGCTGGTTTTAAGGGTTTATTGTGCTACGTGCACTCCTTCAGTTGTGCTAACCTAAGGGTTTGTGGGGCTTCTGCAACCAAGACGAAACTTAGTCCAGGTTTAAACAGTCTCCCAGAGCAGTGCTAACCTGATTCATACAGTTATGTTGGCTCTGCCTCCTAACCGGTCCTACTATGGCGATAGAACCTGAAAATCAAGCTTTTGCTGATCCACGGTGTTGCATCACTTGTGGAGGACCTGAGCAGGATCTCGCAGAGTCATGTATGCGCACGGGACATGGTTGTGCTGCACATAACAGTGATCACGGGAGTTAACTTAGTTCCGCTATTCAACAGGGAGTGGGAGTTCAAGTTTCTTTCCCCTATTTGTGTGAATTTTGGCTGGTTTTATTCTTCGGAGTTGCGGTTGTGCTGACGTAATGGAGCACCTCCTTTTTTGCCCATTGAGGATTGACTTGGAAAGGGCTAGCAAATCCAGAGTTTACGAAGTCTGCGGAGTGATGCTCAGTACAAGGAAAAGTTGTGCTGATGTAATGGAGCACCTCCTTTTTTGCTTTTCCTTGACTTGGAAAGGGCTAGCAAATCCAGAGTTTACGAAGTCTGCGGAGTGATGCTCAGTACAAGGAAAAGCAGGTGTTTTTCTTACTTTGCTAGCCCAGATTCTACCAAGGAGATGCTATTGCAGATCAGAGTATTTTATACTGACAGACCTAGTGGTTTATTTGCATTCCTTAAGCAGACTCAGATGGAAACATCCGTATCAGAACCAGTTGCATGCACAACCTGGACTCCTGATTGCCTGACTCCAGTGGAACTGCCTCAGTTTCCCTGTTTGCTGTTAACTTCAGTTCCCTTTTGAAGTCCCTCGCCTTCAAATTCTTTCCGGCTTCTGACTTAGCTGCCTTGGCATGGAGAATGCCTACTGTGGTTGGGTTAAACCTCAGCATTGCGAGGGCTGCAGCATCGTGTGGGGAAGGTGTTTGCTGTACTTCTGTTCGTTAGTGTGCTCAATGCTCCGTTTCATGAGTCCTTCCTCATTTAATTGTTCGTTTCAGGCCATGGAGAGAGAGGTCACTGCTGCGTTTGGCGAAGGTGAGCCAGACGAGATCATGAGCAGTGCCTTCAAACTCAAGGTCACTCGTGAGGACATCCAAACGCTAATGAACCTTTGCTGGCTAAATGATGAGGTAAAACCTGCTGCGGCACAGTTTGTTTTTTTTTTTTTTAAATTCAGCATTTATTTAAAACTACCCCTTCACTGTGTACCAAAGTCTTTTCAAAATTATTTGATGACCTTTACTGCAGAGCCTAGAAATCTCTGTACAGTTCTTATTGTAGGTACTTAAGGGTCTAGTGTTTCTAGAAGTTCCTTTACTACTTGTATCATGCAGCTTCCAGGAGTTATTGCAGGTTATTGGAGTGGGTGGCAGGTGTCTTTATCAAACCAAGTGCAAAATTCTCAGAGCAAACCAGCTGAGAAGGGTATGGAGAATTCTGACAGCTGAGGCTGGAGTTCTCTCAGCTGCGTACGTAAGGGTGGCCAGCAAAGATACGTTGCTGTATTTTTCATTTGGTAAGCTAGAGTCTTATTTTACATCTTATTTTACTCTTTATGGTATAGGTCATTAATTTCTACATGGCTCTTCTGGTGGAAAGAAATAAGAAGGAGGGATATCCAGCAGTCTATGCTTTTAGTACTTTCTTTTATCCCAAACTCGTTTCTGGGGGCTACAAAGCAGTAAGAAGATGGACCAGAGGCGTAGATCTCTTCAAGCAGGACCTCATCTTAGTGCCCATTCACTTGAGAGTCCACTGGGCACTAGTGGTGAGTCAAACTGGCTCTTTATTTAGAATTGGATGGGGAGGAAAAAAACTAGCAAGAAAAGTCATCTAGGTTTTGGAGTGTGCTTTGTCTAACAGTCACCTTTTAATAACAGGTCATAGATGTCACAAAGAAGACTATCAAATACTTTGACTCAATGGGACAAAAAGGCAACAAGATTTGTGAAATTTTGTTGTAAGTAACTGCTCAGTCGCTGCTTTTATGTTGTGAATTATGAGAAGGGTTTTTTTTATTTTTGTCCCTGTAACACGACTGCAAGTTTTCACATTTCTTGTAGATAACAAAACAGAAATCTTTGATTTGCCTGCTGCAAGTTGTGTGAAATTGACTGCTTATCTAGTCTGACATCGTCCCCTCCACCTGGGGTCTCATACACTTTTTATTGCTTAGCTCTTTTATCCTTTTCTTGTTTTAAGACCTTTTCCCCCCACACACGTGTAATGTTCACCCTTTTTACTGTAGTGAGCTACGTAACATGCTCCGTCTGTCTACGCCTCTTCTGTGCAGTGTTTTAAACAAAGCCCCCATGTTTCTCTCCAGCTTGCCCCAGCAGGCCACCCTCGTGTCCTTACTGTGTGTTATTTGTATTTCCCACGTCCTCACTCAAGACAGATGTCTTGTACCAAGCTTTTCCTGGGAAAACCCTTGGCCTGGAAACTTCCTCAGCCCAAAAGCTTTTTTATTTGTTCTTCCAGAGGTGCACCCAGTATGTGGGGTCAAGGCGCACGGTGGAATTATGGCATTATGGTTCCTTGCTTGGTTTTTCTGTTCCTCCTCTGATAATGTGTGATTTGGGGTTTTCTGACCTCTACTAAGCAATGAGCTTATACTTTTGTGGAAGTCTCTGTTGGAATTGTTGGTCTCGTTCCTGACCAGTAACCATTAGCTTGCAGCCTCTCGCTTTCTTTGTAAATTTAAGATTTGGATTTTTCCTCCAAATGCCTTAAATGAGCTGCTGTGAGGATCCTCTGACATTTTACTGTCCTGCCATTCATCTTCCTGTGATCCTTCAGCAGCTCTCTTTTTATTGGCCTAAATTACAGAGATAAAGAATGATTTTTTTTGTTTTGTTTTAAACAGCCAATATCTGCAAGAAGAAAGCCGGGAAAAAAGAAATCTGGAGCTGACTTTTTTGGAGTGGACTCTTCGCAGCATGGAGCCACATGTATGTGAGCACTACTTGGATTCGAAATGTGAACTGTAACTCCTTGTCACGAAGGCCTTAAACACTTTCTAATAAGTCCAAGCCTTTAGAGAACGGCCATAAGCATCTCATCTTCTTACGGTTCCACCTCAGGCTGCGAGTGGATCGAGAAACCATGCTGAGATGAAATCTCTAAGCAGGGCCTCTCCTCGCTGGCTCAATACTTTTTTTTTTTTCCAATTCAGGCTTTGCCCCCGTTTCACAAGTTAAATTTAAGAATCTGTTTAGCTGTTCTCAGAGAATGTAGGCTTCAAAAATCAGGTTTGGGTTTCGAATAATTATTCTTGTTTGGAGCACAAATCCTGACAAAGCAGAGGCACGAGCCGATGTTTCTCCAGAAGTTAATAGTAAAAAGCAGTATCTAAAGACTTGGTTTAACAAACATGACACTGTGCAAACCTCAAGACGCCTTATCAGCCTGCCAAGAATTTGGATAGTAACCTCCAAGGAAAGGAAGCAGAGGGGAGGGATGATGTGCGGTTAATTGGGTCTGTTCCTTGGGCGCGGGAGTGGTAAATGGATTATTGTGAGTAGGTGCATGAGTGTAGGTTAGCATCGGGTTGGTATGAGTGGTGTGTGCTGCTTTTAAGATAGAGGAAAATTCTCCATCTTCTTTGTGTTCATTAGGAAATCCCTCAGCAACTGAATGGAAGTGACTGCGGGGTTTTCATGTGCAAATACGCAGATTGTATCTCCAGGGACAAACCGATAACCTTTACACAGGTGAGCGAAGGTTCTAAACAGCTCTAGACTTTTTCGAGCAGATAAAAGAGCCAGGGAAGTTACGCAGCAGCTGGTCATTGTGTCTGGGGCAGGGGCTGAGGTTTTGTACCCCTCTTTTGCTGCAAACTTGCTGGAGTTGGAACTTCAGAGCAGCCTCAGCAGGGCAGAGCTGTGTTTTCCATCCTTACGTCTCGTATCTGCTTCCTCACTGAATTAAGGAATTAAGTGGGTGTTTATGCGTATTTTCTGCCGTGACTTCCTAGGTAATAGATTTTTCTTTTCTTTTCAGAATCACATGCCTTACTTCCGCAGGAAGATGGTGTGGGAAATAATCCATCAGCAGCTGCTGTGAGACATGCACTATTGGAGTAACACTGTGATCACCTCAGGGTGACTAACTCTTATTTTAGTTTTCTAATATCTTATTTGAAAAAACAGCAGCCACACAAATTTTCCTCTTTAGGTTATGAAGTAGCGGTTAAGTTGGTTTTGTTCTCCCCCCCCCAAATTGTGGAGACAGTAACTCTCTTTGAAATTAGCTAATGCACCTTAAGTGCAAACCAGAAAGATTGCTGTGACCTTGCCAAGGGGACGGTTAAAAACAAATGCTGTTGAACCTCTGTCGTTGCGATGGATGCTCGGACCTCGCAGCCCACGTTACAGGCAAATGGGACTCTCACCTGGTAACAGTTGTGGTAGCTCAACTCATCTTCCCAAGGACAACGTGCTTAGCTGCTGTTTTCTCAAAGAGAGTTTTGTTTTATTTCTGGAATATCCTCAATCTACTTGATTCCTGAAACTGGATTTGTGATGACCATAAAAAAAAAAAACAACAACCTTTTACCATCTTTTGATTTGTAACAAATCCATAGTGAAGCCCCTGTAGTTGGGGTTGGTTTCATTGCTTTGTTTTTCTCTGTCTCCAGGGAGTTATCTAATGTGAAAAGAGAAGTATTTATTTCTTTTTATTAAAATAAATATATAAATTATATAAAGAGCCTTACTGGAATGAAACTCTACTTGGTAATGAAATAGAGTGATTTGGTCTTTTTTTTTAATTGAAGATAAGTTTGATGTATCAATGTGGTTTTTAGCTCACTTACCATCTACGAGGAAGAAGTCTCTAACCAGGATGAGTATCAGAGCACAAAATCCTCTAAGCGATTGTCACAAAGCCCTGAAGGGGCAGTCGGGATGTCATTCAGCAGCGAGATGAGCAAGCGCAGTCCCGCTTATACCGAAGCGGGAGATCTCTCCTTGGGGTAACTCCCTAGGCTTCTCAAAGACAAAGCGAAGCTTCTCTGCGCAGCGTGGTGAACGCAGGCTGTCGGGTGCTGGGATCAATTTAAGGCTGATAGGGGTTTTTCCAGGTGGTGTTGCAGCGTACTGCTGTGGAAGTGATGGTCGAGATACCGTCGTCGAGATACTGTCGAGATATCAGCTCTGGGGGAGAGCTGGTGGCTTTGGGGACACCCCCTCTGGGTGTGATCAGCGTTCGCTGTGCTGCCCCTTGTCTGCAGACCTGCTCCCCTGGGCAGGCTGAGGAGGTGGTTTATCTGTCTGGGGGGGCATCAGTCTTTGCTTTCAAACTGATGAGCTTAATCTGTCGGAGTCGGAGGAGATTCTCCAAAGAGAGCAAGCAATCTGTGGTTGGTTGTCCTTACAGGAGATACTTAATCGTCCCTGTGGCTGTTGAAAGCCTCCCTCTGTGAGGTGGTGGGGAGGTGGTACGCGTACCCGTCGCTATCCCCTCCGCCTGCACGGTGTCTCTGGGGCTCTGCCCTGGGGCTGGGTTCCTTACAGCCCTACAAGGAGCTCTGGGAGCACCCCGGGGGGGACGAAACAGCCTGTTGACTGTTGGGCTTTGGGGGAGCAGGCGTGTGCAGGAGCCAGGCCTCGCTTCTCATTAGAAAATGGCCTTTCGGAGGTGACAAGCTGGCGCTTTCCCGTGCTGAGGGGAGCGCCGGGCTGCGTTCCCTGGCTGCTGCCTTGGGCTCCGCACGCT